ATTATCCTTCCTCCATGCAAACGACCTTCTTTACTTGTGGATGTAGGTAACTATATGCTTAGTGAATACGGTTGTTAAAAAAAAAACCAAGTGACAAAATTCAGAAACACCACTAAAGACCAGAAAAATCAAAACGAAATGATACGACATAATCAGGCGAGCCTAGTCGGAGGGGGGGGAGGGGAAGCCTCAAACTTCTTCCAAAGTTCAAAGCGTAGGCGATCTAGTAATGATCAGGACAAAGATATCGGATGGATAATAGATACGCCTTGTATACATTACACTTGTCCGCAACTTTTTTTTGATGGTACGCTCTTCCTATGTTGTCAGATCTCTTTCATCAAATGTCAAACATTAAATTTTTATTTAAAAAGTTACTATTACCATTAATAGAATCTAATAAAAAAAGGAAATAAAGAATTGAAAGCATCAATATAAGTTTTTTATTAATTGCAATCACTTAAGACTTTTAAGTAGCTATTTCTACATGTGTATCACATGGGAATATTAAACATTTTGGTATAAATCATTTAACTTTGGCAACCTAAGACATTTTGTTGATGTTGTCAAAGTGACAGATCAAGTTTTATTGTGATTTTTGTGGTTTTTTGTAGTTTTCAAGAATAATTTAAACCCTGAACTTTTTATTATGGACTTTTACGATGGGAAGGAAATGTATAGTGTGCCGAAATACGCAGAATAAGAATGTTATTCGGTCATTTCATAAATAAGATTATGTTAGCATAGACGTAGGCATATACAGGGAATAAGGCTTAATTTATTTAACAGTGTAAAGGCATTTAGTACTAGCATTGTTTATTTAAATAATAATGTTTTATATTTTCTGATCAGATTTCCTAGAGAAATTATTCAACGTGGAATTTGGCTGCAAAATCTATGCTTGGTGGAGGAAAACATTATGAAAATGAAAGAAGCCTTAGTATATGTTCTGACCATTTTTGTATGGCAGATATTTATGAAAATTTAAGTGGTAGATACATCTTAAAACATAATGCTATACCTATCAAGTAAGTACAGTATTTATTATGGGTATTTTTATTATATGTAAGCTCTAAAATTATACAGTAATCATCACATTTTGCAGAATTTTGGAAGAGGTAGTTGAAGAGGCGAAAAATGAAGAAGAAAAAAATCCTTTTTTTAGTGCAGTTCGTAACAGATGCTTCAATAACAATCTCACATAGAGATTGTTTCAAAATTGTTATAAAAAATTATTAATTGATAATGAAGTGAAGTCAAATAAAACTGCCAATGCAGTTGCTTTAGATAGCACCAGCATCTTGGATTGTAGCAACACTAGTAGCCAAATTGCGTTAAATTTGTTACGAATCAGACACTAAAGAAAATTTGGAATTTACAAATGAGCTTCGTGGCCATGATTACCTATCTATATATTTTCTGAGCGAATACATTCAGGATGTAGTTGCTTATATTTCTGGTTTTATAGCAAAATCCTTAAAGAAAAAGATTCACTGCAAACAGTGTTCTGCAATTGAACCAGTGAGTTCGAAAACCGTACAAGTCTCAAATTTGACATTTAAAAATAAGCCATTTCGTTTAAAATTTGTCTCTTCATCGATTGAGCTTAAAAACCGTACTAGATACCTAGCTGTTAATGTAGTACAGCTGATTATACCCGTGAAATTAGGTGAAAAACCGTACATATCTGCGACTCGTACGGTTTTTCATCTCAATAACAAAATAATGGTCAGTTGCTATGATAAGTTGGAAAAACACAAATACTGAAAATGATGATTACATAACTGAGATAACAGTTTTGATATTGTATTTTTCTTCCTTTTTGAATAAATATAAAACAAATCTTTTCTCTTCGACAGACTTTCTGTCTCAACTGTCAAAGGTGCTACTTTCTGTTCTTAATACACAAATAGCTATTTTGTCTTTTATTCCAAAATATGCTTTACAAAAGATCAGTTATCTTATAACACTAAATAAATCTATTGAGCAGATTCTTCACCAAGAGTGTTTGTAGGAGTAATCATTGATAGTAAAATGACATTCGAAATGTCACAAAAGAAGCTTCCTTTAGTGTTTTTTCTATTCGGACAAATTAGAAATAAGTACCTATCTCTTGATAATCTTAAGCTAATGTGTTTTAGCCTTGTCCAGATATTATAAAATCATTGCTCATTACTGTCCTAAATGAGTTATTATATCATTACACAAATAATTCTAAAAATAGGTGTCGTGACATGCAACCCAAATGGTATGTAATAGAAAGATCATATTTGTATATTTATGTATCTGAAATAAAATTGTTTTCTTGTTAATAGCTTTTTAATTCATAAAAAAAGGTAGTCCGGCAATATAATTATTCTTTTTTCGACCTGTAGAAAAGGTTTTCAAACAGTACCCATGTAAAAATAATAATAAATGGCTTTATATTTTTACTTGCTCTTTGCTCTTCATGTATTTAAAAAAAAATTATATAATAAAATACTAACAAAAATGTTCTTCCACTTTGAGCTACCTACTATTTTAATCTATAAGAAAATATATAAAATGACTTTTTGAATGCCCTGTATAAATTGAATGTTTTCTTTAAATTTACCTTTGATTCCGAAGACCCATAGGTTATTGATTTGGTCATTAAATAATTTTTACTAAAAATATATGTAAACCCTCCCGAAACACTACGTCAATGTGCGACGTACGATTCCCCTTTCCCCGTCTGGTAAAACATGCGGACAGAAGGTGTATTGGGTATACAGTGTGTAGGGCGAGTCTATCTTAGATAATATGATGTCTATGGATCAGGATTAAGAGCGAGGCTACTACGGGGGAAAGTTACAAACTTCTTCCAAAGTTCAAGGAACCTATTCCGATTGACAAAAGTGCTAATTACCGAAAGGTATTAAGTTGAAGATCTACGTGGTATTCAAAAACTGCTGACAACATTAAACGATGACTTATAATTCAAGATAATGTTATTTTATGTTCCTGTCATAATTAATAAGGTTGGCTATTATAATGTGACGCGGAGCCAACCCTGTCTAGTAAGCGACCTTCAGCCTGCCACTCGACTCATGGTCGAAACACCGCTGACGTATAGAGACAAATTCTCCGCGTCTCGAATATACCAGAACAAGCGGTACGTGACGTGAGTCATAGAGATGGAATTCTAGGACATTCCATCGTCGTCTAGAGACTATTTGTACAGAGTGGTCTTTATATAAATAGCACAATTTCGTCGACGGACGAGTAGATTCGAATAAAGTATCGGACAGAAAAGATAAATTGTAATAAATAAATTAGAATTATGAGTTAGCGCCCAAGTATTATATAAATTAATTAGCACGTCAAAAATAAATTATAAATATTGTGTTTTAAAATAAATATACTCTAAATAAATTAAACTAACGTTACCATAAGTTAAAAAAAAAATTAAAGTGGTATATTATATGATTATTTAGTTAAACGTTATTTGCAACTGCGAATGTAAGTCTATTCATAAAGTTTTATGTCTCTAAGAAAATAAGATCAACGGATCTCTAACACGAAGAGATCTACGAATCTTTAACACGAAGAGATCAACGGAAGTATAACATGAAGAGATCAACGGAACTCTAAGATCAACGGATCTTTAACATGATTAGATCAACTGATCTTTAACATGGAAAGATCAACGGATCTTTAACATGAGAAGATCAACGGATCATTATGAAGAGATCAATGGACCGCTAAGGAGATAAGATCGACGGATCTTTAAAACGAAGATATCTTTTGAGCTAACGAACAGGGTCAATTCACCAGTTTGTTAACTTACCAATAAATTTCACCATCTAGGTTTAGGTGTGTATATTTCTAAAATATTGAAATTTATAATTTCTATTGAAATAACTCTAATTCACCCATCGAAAAACATATGTCTAACCTAACTGTCTTTCGAGGTGAATGCCCGAAAGTCATATGGTTTATTGGGTTACATTGATAATATTTTAAACCCAATGTCAGGCCCTTATTTAAAACGGAATCCCAGCGATATCTCAAAAAAATTACATTATACTTTCGACTCAATATTGAAAATACAGGAGTTACTGTAGGATAGACGCCGGTTAGGAGAAACGTCGATTTAGGAAAGGTACTGAATACTGAACTTAAACTATTACTTCGTGAAAAGAAATATTTTTTATGGATGGTTTTGGGTCAAATTCTCATGGGATAACTTTTATCTTTTCTAGTTATTGTGTAATATTAGAGAAATATTACTTTTATTTATTATGCATCATAGATTTAATTATCGAATTTTTCGTTAAATGAAGGATTTTCAATTTAATAAGAATGCAACTGTTCTTTAATAAAATGGAATTTGTAAGTCAAAGTAATCATCTGTAAGTCGCTCCGGAGCGCCACGTCAAATAATCATAGCCGCCTCTACCCCGCGCAAACTCTTATTTTGGGGTTAAAAAATTACTCATCAATGGGTCCCACGATTACCTAAAGGATCGACAGATCATGACAAGTTGGAGATTGGTACTTTTTTTCAGTTTATCGAAGTGCTTGAGGACAGGCTTATATACAGGATGTCCAAATGTAAGAAATATGGCAACGATGAAAGCGTTGCTATGTAATACGACACCGAACAAACTTAAAAGTGTATTTATGAGATATTTCGACGGAACCCATTTAGATAATTTGTTAATATTAACTAATATATGCTGAGGATGGGAAGACCTTAGGTATTCAGTATTGATTAGTAAACGAATCAAAAACGAACTGTTATGAAGATTATGAAGATGAAAAGGTTTTTTTGTAACGGGAAAAAAAGTTTAACATTTAATCTCTGTTGACAGGTAAAATGTCACTTTTTATGAAAATTATTTTTTTCCCGGAAAAAGTGAGTATTTTTTCCCAGATATATATACACATAAGTAAAGGTAGATATTTAATTTTAGAATATTTTATTATACAAAAGTTCCATTCCCTTTATATTAAAAGTACAATTATTAAATGTGTATTGCATGAATTACATGTTCCTTGAACTATTCGGTACAATAGTCGAATTTTCTGGTGTTGAAATTATATTTTGATGTACGTATTCATCAAAATCGGGTATTATTTCAGCACTGGCACATGTTCTAAACTCTTTATTAGCTACTTTTGTCATGTGTGCTACCGATTCATCAACATACCCTTCAGCTGCCGTTGGTGATTTCCTACCGCCATATTTCTTTAGTGTCATCAAGTCTCCTCCAGATTCAACTAAAAGTGTAGCAGAGGATCTTTGAAATGAATGACCCGTATATGAGTTACCATTTGCAAGTTGAAGAAAATTAGCTACTGTTTGAGGTGCCTTATACCACAACTTGATTGACACATTTTTTATTGCGATATGCATAAAATATGCGGCGATCCTTTGCTGCTGTTGGGCGAAGGGCTGTGTACATACGGTAAAATTTAATATATTTTTCAGTAACTACAAATCTCCTGTTTATATCATTCTTTGTTTGCTTAAGTTTTACAATTATTAACGTTCCCGAATCTTCAATGATGTTACCTGGCTGATTTCACAAATTCGACAAGCTCCTGCAATCGCAAATACAACAACAACCTTGGCCATGAAATAAACTTCATCGGGAGCATTATTTAAAAAATCACTAACATCTGCACTCGTATAAATCGCAGCTTTCTTGGGCGTGTAACCTTTCCCATTTTGTTTCAGAAATGTAATTAGTTTGAAATATTTTGAAATGTCTAGGGTATAGTCGGGTAAGATGACGAAGTTAACGATTCGAGTTAAATTACTTCAAAACCGTTAACTAGATCTTTGATCTTATATGCTTCACGCATATGAAATTTATTCTTTTTAACACATCTGGAGTGAATAATACATTTAAGTCTTTTTTTTACCTGTAATATATATTTTTTTTAATTATAAAATTTGTCATCTTAACCCCACCTGCTGCTAAGATGACTTTTATGTGTGGGTAAGTTGACAGATGTTTGAAATAACACAAATATTTTTGAAAAAGATGCTTATAATAAAAAAAGAAAAAAAAAAACAAATAGCGTCACAGCCAACTCTAACAATCTAGAAAAAAATAAAAAAACGTTCTATGATAATAAAATAAACAAAACACAAAATCCTTACAAAAATCACACAACCACTTCTTGGCTTTGGCTTGCTTAATATCCAGATCAGTGCACGCGGCATGGGCCCATTTTTTTCACTTTGAACACTGAAACCATAGTTCCCGATCTTTTCCTTCGTCATCACAGATGACGCATAACTTATTATCAGATATCCTGTTACTCTCAGAAAAGTTATTATAATCATCAGTGTCTACCGAGTCCACTCAATTGACGAATTTTATGAATCTGATGAACTGAATAATGTTCGCTTAACCAGTTTTCTTGGTTCCATTTTCTTCTTCTTTAGTAATTCTTTGGCTTTTTTCTTCCCTGGCTGCTGCCCTAAGTTTTTGTTGTCTCTCTTTCTTTTGCTTTTCCTGTTCCTTTGTTTCCAAAACAGTTTTTACTGGCGTGCTGGAAATAACGAAGGATGTAGTTTAGCTCTTTTGCGTTTAGTTCTGACTTCTGCAACAGGCAATGGCGGAAGTCGTGTTGAGTAAAATTGTTTGCTTGGTATCGTACAAGAAGTAGAAGAATGAGCTTCATACAGATTAGAGTCCTACCAAAAACGAAGAAACATACGTACCAACAGCACTAATACAACATAAAGCCGATGAAATTTTAATGACTCTTCTGTTTCCTCTTGGTGTTAAGACTTGGATTTTTTGTAGGAACTGTTGAAATTCTAGTTTCATCACAATTGTAAATGCGATTAGCTTAAAAATTGTGTTTTAATTTTAATTCTTTATAGACCGTAAAAAACTGTTTAACGTTTTCTTTGTTAAAACCCATCATGCGAGCAATCAAGGTTGATTCTGGAGTTCTCAAGGAAAATTTAAAATCTTTTATAAATTTTTTATAAAATGCTCTACCAGCTTTTTTATATTGAATCGATGTGCGATCCCATGATTTTCTTCGTAGTCAAAAACAATTGAAGAAAATTGTTTCTTTGTTAAACCAAATGCTCTTTTATCTAATTCTAATATGTAGTTTTTTAACTCCAATAATTGATTATCACTAAAAGTTGGCTTGAAGCGACCAGCATTTTGTGCAAAATTCTGGAAAAAACCTAGTTTGATTTTTTAGAGTGAATTTATATTTTCCAAAAATTTAAACTTTCTTTTCATATAGGTAAAATTGTAAGATATAGAAGACTACGTATTATATCGCTATGTTTTCTTACATAACGTCGAAGAGTTGCCTCAGGAACTGAATAGGTTTTAGACGCTTCATCTTCGCTTGAACCGTTATTAATAACTTCTCTAAATGCTTGTCTCATGTTCTCCTTACTCCATAACTGTCTATTTGTTTTTCTTGTATATTTCCCCATACCAAAATTTAAACATGTTTTAAACACATTAAGCAATGCAGCTAAGTTGGCGAATTCGTTATCTCAGCAACAACAACGGTTCGTCATCTTAGAGACACAAGCACATAAAATTTAAAAAATCTATAATTAAATTTTAACAAAATCTTATTAGTAATTGATCATGTCCTACCATAGATAATGGTTTCTACTACCAAATGATAAAATTAAAATAAATTAATAACGTACCTTTCGAAAATTAGAGCTTATTTTGCTTCGAGCCAAAATTATAAGAAGAACCACCCTAACAGTATAAATGGTCACAACTCACTAAGCGTTCTTCCACGATGCTACTCATTTATACTACAGAAAGTTTACAACCAATAGAGCATAAGGGGTTACACATGTCGCGATATCTCTTTTCTAGTAGCAAAAATTCGCAATTCGTCATCTTAGCACGTTCTTCATCTTACCCTAAATTATTATTGGATTGTGACATACTTTTAATCATTGAATAATTCGACCACACTCCGTTTCCGACAAAGAACTGCATGTATTTTTCATCTTCCATTTCATAAATCTTGAATAGGCGGTTTCGTAAATTTTCCACGATTTAGCTGGCAATAATTTTTATGATGCTACTTTCGCTGCTTCTATTAATTTCGGTGGAGTCAGAGAAAACTCTGAATCAGACATTTTTAACTTTGTATTATTCAAAATAACTAATAAATAACTACTAAGTTCTTAATTTTTAAATTAAATCACAGAATTAAATTGATAGATATTTGATTATTTTAAAGGTTTCCTTAGAAACGCAGGTGTAATTGTCGCTATAAGTACAACAAACAGCCTACTAGTTTACAAATTCAAATTTTACATCGATAATTTTCCGACTTTAATATATTGTAATCAGTGGCGGCGATAAATATAAGAAGAAGATAAATGTGAATCAACCGTAAAGAGAAAACATACGAAAAATTAGGTTTGATAGGGGTCTGGGCCCCTCTGGCCCCCCTCTAGATCCGCCACTGCTAATTGTTATTATCATCATAAAATTAAAAAATATAAATAACGCAAAAAATATATAATAATAATGCACATTGTTCCAAGTTTAATTTCTGGACACGTTAAGGATAGATGCTTAATATAGCCAAATCACTAAGGTCCATTTGCACCACTCGTCGTTAGGAAATAAGCCAAGCTTAAAATGACATTTCTCCATTGACAGCGTCATTTTAAGCTTCGCTTATTTCTTAACTACTAGCGGTGCGAATGGTCCTAAGTCTTATCGCACCCATAGTACTCCGCAAATAAGTTTTAATGAGTTTTAGTTTCGAAAACGACCTTTCTGCACTAGCGGACGAGACAGGTAACGTTAAAAATAATTGAAACAACGAACAAACATCGGGAAGACTGCTCAGAAGGAATCTATTTCCTGTTATAAAATTTATAGTTAATTCATAAAGCACATGGGCAATAAAATCGAGATGCCCATCTAGTACGGCATAGTTTTTTAAGAGTTTTCCATTGTTTTTTATAGTTTTCTTCATCTCTGCCATCGTGGCAAACTTTGGCTAAGAACAAATAAATTGATTTCAACAGTCCATAAAAATTTCTGATTTCAGTGATATTCTGCACTGAATCATTTAAAACAAGATTTAGATTATATGCAGCACAGTGAATAAAATCGGCAGTTCGTACTTTACTTTTGATTCTTGCTTGAAGACCTGACTATTTACCACTCATGTTGGCAGCCCCATCATTTTTTTGTATTAATCTGTAGTTTTTTCAAGGAATTAATAAACCACATTTTCAAAATTTTCTGAACTTTGATCCTGCATCTCATTTTATCTCTCTTGTCAGATAACAAAATGTCACTTTTATGAAATTACTTTTTTCCCGTATCCAGGGAAAAAATGAGTCCTTTTTTCACGGATATATACAGGGTGTCCCGAAATTAGACGGTCATATTTTAACAGCGTAATCTACTTCCTAAAATAGGAGTAAAAGTTCATGTAAACATAGGTTCGAAAACATTTCGTTTTCGAGATACAGGGTGTTACAAGTGAAGTCCTAATAGCACATTTTTGTAAATATTTTCTAATATTTCTTTAGTCACCGGTTTTCCAAAGTTAAAAAAAAATAAAATTTCTGATTCCACAGGCCTGCTAATTATTGTTTACACTTTCGAATAAGTTAACATTACTTATCATGAAATTTTCAAATGCTTTTCTCTTGAAAATGGTGCGTCCTAGCGAGATGCAACAAAAGTTGCTTTATTATAAAGAAAACATTGATTTTCCAAATTTTGTAGTCATAAAAGTTAAAAACTGTCAACAAAAAAAACTTAGGGCAATTTTACCCTAAGCCCCCCCCCCCCCTAATTTACCAACCTATGAAGATGATCAAAAACTGGGGTTTAGTCTCACTTAGTTACCTTTAAACGTTTAAAAAATATTTAAAGTAGGTCATAAGGACTTCACTTTTAACACACTGTATCTCGGAAAAGAAACGTTTTCGGACCTATGTTTATATGAACTTTTACTCCTATTTTAGGATGTTGATTACGCTGTTAAAATATGACTGTCTAATTTCGGTACACCCTGTTTGCACATAAGTAAAGGTAGATATTTTATAATAGGTTTGTTCTGGTTCTCAGAATGAAAACTGTTTTGAAACTGCGCCGGACCGTATGCGTAAAGGCAAAAAATCTCCGACTGTTTGAAATTGTTGGAAAACCAGAACACATAAAGGTGTTTTGTTTATTGTTTATTATAATAATAAAGTTCCTTTTGAAAGCTCAGCTTCAAATAACATTTACATGTATATGTTTATCATTATCATCACATTTCAATGAAATAAATAAAAACATAATAATATTAAAAAATTAATAATTCTAAAATTGTTTTAATTTACAAATAAAACAGAACAAGAGACATTCGTCCACATATAAATAAACAATTTGGGATTGCATACGTTCCGTATGGTCTAAAAAGCCAATACAATATTCATAACACTTAAAAAACGCATGCGCGGTCAAAACAGTCCGAGTCGATCCACACTCCCAAGTATGAACACATTTTGACTATTTACAACAATCACGGATTATTTCGGATACGAAACCAGAACACTGGACTAAGAGATCCGAAGTAGTCCCAGAAAAACCAAAACACTTTTTATCTACTGCGCATGAGCCCGACAGTTATGGATCGTTATTTCTCAAAACCAGAACAGACCTAATATTGTTCGTCGTTGTTCCCGTCACAGAAAAAATTGTATATTTTACATGGGAAAAATATCAGATTTTAGTTCTCGGTTTTTTGTCTCCCTTCGCTTCGCGTC